CGCAATATCATCGGCGTAGTCAAGATCAGTTAGCTGGCGTCCGGGTGCAAGCTCAACATTTTCCTCTTCATGTAGGGCCTTTCCGAGAATCCAGTCAATGACGTAGTTAAACAGTATGGGCGACAGGACGCAGCCCTGTCGGACACTAGACCGGATATCAAACGGCTGAGAGACTAGCCTTGACGTAGACAAAGCTAAACAATCCGGAGTTGATGAACGTAAATAAGATCTAAAGGCCGATCAAATGCATGATCACATGGTGGTTGGGAGTGCGGACTGCCATTTCAGGTGCCGTTTCTAAAGGCTGATCACATGATACACCAAAACCATTCTTGCAGGCCTCTAAGTGACACGAAAGACCGAGTAGTCTTTACGAAAAATTAGTCGAGAGGTTAGTGTAAAAACCAAAACAGGTGACTGGATAATGAGGAGAAAGCAACGAGGAGTATCGACTGATTGGGTTCCTACCATGCCGCACAACTTCCTTTTTAATTTGGCTTTGTTACGCTTGCACCTATGATAGGAGTTTCGATTTTGCAGTATGTAGGGGAGCAGGTTGAACGTAGCTAACGCGGACAAGTGATTAAATCTGGCAGACCCGATCGTCTCTAATTCATTATAGGTGCCGAGTGGTCCAATGAGGATAGGACGAGGTAGACGCAGTGCAATGCTGTTTTTCTAACAAAAAAAGCACATACGTAAGTCAGTTGCTGAGTCTACCTTGTGGATTAGCGGTTAGCGGCATCGTTGTTTGCTACGGTCAAATTATCACGAGAGAAAAATGGTCAACTGAGCTCAACACTCGTCATGCTGAAGATTAAAAACTTACGTTCTTTCGCTTCAGTACTCATTTCAATTCCATTTTACCCAACCTGGCTGAATGTTCAGTCTTCCAATTAAATAATAATAGTTTCTCAGTACTCATAAACACGAAATGGTGAAGAGCCACCGCAGTTAGAGAAATAGACTCTTATAAAGATGTTGTAAACTGACGCAACATTTAGCAGCCAGTGTGTCTTTTACTATTCCATTAGAGCCAATTATTCCAGGGTCTGTCTTTCCGTCCTCTATCTGGGTAGCACTGCCTTACTATGATGAGAATTTCAAAGTATTGTACAAATCGCGTTGGGTGGTATATGGAGTAAGACTGATTTATTTCAAATAACAAAAATAACAAAGGCGCGGTAAATAGAAGAGCAAATCAGGCTCGATTGGAGTCAACTACGAAATTTGAGCAAAGTCAAAATCCAAACGTTTGCTAGACGCCTTAAGGAACTCTAACGATCAAAATGAAGTCATGTAGTCGTATTCCTTGCAATTTTTCTTTATGACATTACAACAATAATAGTTCTGGTGAATAGCAATACTCAGATGCTTTCGGAAAACATCGCAGTCAACTAGAAAAATTTGAACTTAAAGGCACGCTCAATGGCTGTGGGCACCGGTGTAATAAGAAGTGGCGGACTAATTTCACTGGCTTTAAAGTCCTAACAACATGCATAAATCACACTAGTTAAATAAACAAACTCGAACAAATTAACCCTGGTTTGAAACAAACTCAACAACTTACCAACGAGGAGACGGTTGGTATCGACAGGCGTGTTTTTGAATATGCGCTGAAACTGGTGAACTTTTGCTCTGTAAGACCGTGCAAGAGATTGCTAAAAGTTGTGATTAAAAATATTGCTTTAAAATATGAAACAATACCGGAAGACTTGCAAGAAAATCAATTGAATACGCAACATAGATTACCTGGTACCAGGACGAAATTTTTTTGTTAGGTGGACGAGGCGAGGGGGTTCGAGAGTTTTTATTGTCATCAGGAACTGCAATAGCTACATTATAGGCTTCTTGCAATGCATCTTCATTGTGATACTTTGGGGAGGTAGTTGCGTAGCTTTCATCAGTTGAAGATCCGTTGAGGAGGGACGAAGAAAATATGTCAGATGAGCCGGAATTATCTTGCAAGCCGGGTTGGCCAACAGCCTTTTCGGCGTTTGTCTTTCGTTTCAAACTGACAAACGAGTCGCTAGGCAGCCCACTTTCATGAGAGGAGATAGTATGAAGGTTAGGACTGAGATTTGGAGTGTCGATGACAACTTCCTCTTTGCCTCGGCACTCATCGAAGTCATGGAGCTCACAATGGATGGGCACGGGCGAGGAGGGGCAGATGCCACGGTTCGTGCTACTGCTGGTTTCTTTGGGATATTGTTCATCACTAGGAGGTACATGCATGCCAGGTCGGTCACTCGGGGTGACACCAAAGTTTCCTGAGTATGAATGAGAGTTCGGTGGTAAAAAGGAACTGAGGTTCGCCGAGGTGTTGAGAGGAGCTGATGAACCGATGTACCACAAGGCTTTGGTGGAAGGTACATCGACGGACTGGGGAGAATGATCCGTCTAAAAAAATTGAGTTTGTAAATACACTTTACAATATGATAACTACGTATATAACGCTGAAATAAAGTGGGAATAAATGAAAGAGCACAACCACGTTAATATTTTTGAAAAGTATGAAATCTCATGTGCTTATGAGTAGCCCAAGCCGTCTGCTAGAGTACTAAGTCCCAAGAAGGAAAATGTTCACGGGATGAGGATAAATGACCAAAAATTTAAACAGAAAAAGCCTGTGCATTGACGAATAACGTGGGCTATAGATGGGCTATAAATGGTAGATGAGTGTAATGATACGTTGTCCGGTTGGGAAGGTAGGCCGATATTTGGCAATTATCCTTTATATGGTCCCTGAAAAGACAATAATTTTGGCGAGGCAAGGGTGGCCAAGCATGCAGAAGAAAATGACATAAAACTCCGTGAGCCCCTGTTTCAACATCATGATGATGGTGTTTATGGTGATGATGAGGAGGAGGAGAAGAAGAAGGAGGAGGAGCAAGAAAAAACTAAACTGTCAGGCTCACCTCAGAAGAAATATGTGCACATGGTATGTTGCGACTGACGCTAGCCATGGTTGATCCAATGGAATTCAAATAAAATAGGATTGTAACTTATCAAAATTATTCGAGACAAGCTGATTGACAGGTCATACGCAGCAATGCAGTTGGATTCGAAGAAATCACTGAAATGTGAAAAATATGTTCTTAATTTAGAAGAACAGGCTGCAAAGAACCCTTGTGAACAAAACAAACGAGACAACCAACCAATTTAGTAATCTGTGGGCATAATCAACGCTCTTATTCTAATGCCGTGCCCTGCATCGATTGCTTTTGGTGTCGAGGACATGCAAGGTGTAAACAAATTGTAAAACGTCACGCGATGACATAATGGGATTTGGTGAACAGAAAAGGCTGCAGTCCCCCGAATTAAGTGTATTACAACATCCGCTAGTTTAAACCGACTTAAATTTCTGAGACGTTTTAGGAGACTGTGGTGTCATTTTCGGCATCTTTTGTTAACCAAGTTGTCGGACCACACAATAAGTATGTTAGTTAAAACCTGAGGACAAGTGAAAATTAAGGCATGGGGAAACACAAAAAACTGTACGGAGTTGCTACCATATATGGTTGCATACGAATATATATGTAAATATACTCTGAATGATAAAAAATATGAAAGGTCCAGGTAGTTGAATAAAAGACGGAAAAGCGTTCTCTGAGGCCAGTTGTTTATTTGCCCAACGTTTCGAACTCTCACGCGAGCCCGTTGTCAAGGGATAAGAGTGTACAGCTCACTGCATATTTCGCTCAGCTCTACCGGGAGTGAACTTGAGCTCTGCCATCTATTTGTTCGGGCAACGCCACATAGGCATCCAGAAGATTGATATGCCTATTAATGGA